CTTTACGTTACAAAGTGAAATTTATTTTACGTCATACGACAGCGTTTATTTAATGTAACAACAACAAAGGTTGAAATATGCATTTATGAAAGAATCAGGAGTCACCTCCTGCAGTGCTGATTCTCTGCCTCTCCATGCTCATCCACAAAGAGCCAGCAGATTACTTCCCCAGCTGAAGGGTTGGAAGTCTGTCATGTAACGCTTCACGGAGTTAGAAGGCCCCAGGGCCCTCAGCCGAACAGGAATAAATGTTGTCGGTCTCCACTGCAGATTGAGAAAACACCTGGATACTTTCAGAGGAAGAGGCCCTGTGTCTGAAAACCAGAAGTTGCAAAAACATTTGGAGTTATTCAATAGATTCAGAGTGGTGAGTAATGTAAGAAGATAAAGCCGTCTGTCAGGTCCTCCGTTTTATCTTCTTTGCTTCCACATGTTTGTGGCCAGAAGCATAAAAACAATTCAACAAAATTTGTTTTCTAAAACTGAAAGATGTATGTTTAAAATATTAGCATTTTGAAGATTAATCAGTTCCATCATTCATTCGGTCAAAAAAAACAAACAAACTTAAAAACAGGATGCCCTTATTTAGTGGTAGCCAGCAAACTCTGGACTATCTTATTACAGTGAAAATTGTAAAAAATCAGAGTGAAACATAAAATGCAAGACATAATTCCAAGGAAAAATGCTGTGATGAAATAGAGAGGCACACAAATTCAAAGCAGCAGAGAATTATGAGTGCATCTCATAGTGTAGTCATTATGACATGAGTGCATTATGAGATGTACTCAACAGAATTGAGAATTTTTTTTTCTAATTTGAGTTTTTTGAGAATTATAATTGTTTTATTCTAATTCTCAAAAATGTAAAATATTAGGTAAAAGTGCAATATTTTTTCTAGCTTTTATTTTTTCTTTGCTAATTTTAATTATGGCTTCCAGGGCAAGAAAGCCCAAAATTCAGTTTCTCAGATAATTTAAATATCTCAGAACAATCAAAGCGAGAGTGTCAGGCTTCTGGAAAGCATGTATATTTCTCAGTTCTTGGTTGGACGTCCTCTTACATGAACGTCCGCTTCAGTGCACCATCAGCCTGTGACACTGCATAGCTCCAATGGCAGCCGAAATTGCTTTGATAGCTGCCTTCAGGTTGTCTGCCTTGTGGGTCTGGTATCTTCCTGATGACTGCGGTCCATATATTCCATATGGGGTTCTGGTCAGAGGAGTGTGCTGGCCGGTGAAGGACAGTAACACTGGTCACAGACTCGGAAAATAACACTAGCATGTCCATGAGAAAACACAGTGGACTAAAGCCACAAGATGGCATGGCACCCAAAGCCATCACTGACTCTTGAAATGTGCCACTGGATTTCAAGCGACTTGTCTTCTGTGCTTCTGAATTGAAGTGAAGTGAACTGAAACACACTTCAGCTCAATTTACTTTGTCAGAAACTCCAGAAGACACAGGTGGATGCTTCCACAAATGTCCTGGATCATCAACTTCCTGTCAAACAGATCACGGTTCAAGAGCCTGAAGGGGTCAGCAGGACTGCGGCTACATGAAGCAGGTGGGCAGATTTAACCAGCATCCTATCACCACTTATGATTGGTCACGTAGTATCACTGACCTTTTGAGATCCACAGGTCTCTACTTATTATTGATTCACTCTTTTTTTTTTCTATTTAGCACACGACCGATCTAATCTTAAAAACAGAAATGATACATAAGTGACGTTGCTGCCGTGGAGCACTCCACTGTGAAGGTCAGATTTAATTTGATGGCTGAATCTCTCTCTCTGGGCCGGTCCAGTAGACAAATGGCAGTCCTGTGTTTCCTCATGTCTCTAAAGCTCATCTGCAGTCTCCGTCTGTCTCCCAGGTCCATCACAGATGGACAGTTTCTCAGTGACTGCTCATTTCACTTTTGGTCTTTAAAATGAGCAACTCATGACTTAACGATCCTTGAGAGATGATGCAAAAAAGTCCAAAGAAAGATTTTACATAAAATGAAGGAAATTATGGGCAACCTTGAGCAACAGTGCTATTGTTCTGTTGTTGCAACAGAGCTGAGCAACAGATTTTACATCATTGTCATTGATAATGATGTAAAACATATAAAACCAACTGTAAGGAACGAATTGTTGCAGATCAGTGATTTGCAATTTGTTTGGAAAGCAACTCAGAAAAAAAGTAGCTTCCCCTAATGAATCTTGTTCAGGAAAACATTCGTCATGATTATATCAGTCAATGTGTTTTGTAAAGACAGACCTTTGGGGAAATTTACATCAAACAAATACATGTGGGAAAAGTAAGAGCACCTTATAGAATCCTAACTCTGTTTCTTAAGTCATGGTGTTCTGCTTCTTCATTTTATATACTTCAAAATTTGCTTTCCATGTTATCCTTAATTTTCCACCAGCAAATAAAGGGAAATCCGCTTACAAATTCAGATTTATTGTAAATTTCCAGGGCGCAGGTCGGGAGGGGAACAGCATTCGTGCTTAGGGTACCCAAATGGCTGCCAATGGCAATGTTCATATGTAAGGATTTGCCAGTTTTCAAGTGCTAAAAATAGCTTGCTGGAGGGTAGGGCTTGGCAGCTCTGCCAGGCTGGGAACTAAGTTATGTTGCCACTCTTGACGTCTATTTTAACAGAGCGGGTTGTCAGAATGAAACCTGAAGATGGCTCTTTGGTTCCACTTGACTGTAATCTCCTATTTTGTTGTAGAAAAGTCTCAGAGGGTATTTTTAGAGAGTCGGGGTCTTTATTCCTTCTGTCCTTGAGTCTTTTGAAGGACCTTTTTTCTTAAGTCTGTCAGCAGCGACATAACTGTTGTCTGCCATCTATAAATACCTGGCGGGGGATTGAAAGTCCTCTGATACGAAGTACAAATCGGCTCGTAAATAGATGCAAACTTCCTGCTCAACAGTTTCGTTTTGCAACTGTCTGTGAAGTCAGAGTGAAGTGTTGTCATCTTTGGGATTTTGGTGTTTTGCTTTGTTTTATGTCATTTGCTTTTCATAACCAGTTCATTCCTTGGTTCTGAGATTTCTTGACTTTTATGCCAGCACTTCAGGAGGGATGGTATGAAGTATCAGCATTTGGTGGTGCATCAAAAAACAAAAGGAATGTTGCATAAAACTGAAATATTTCTTGCCAGTCATCCAATCATCACACATAATGATATATTCAAAGCCTGTGTTTCTTGTAATTTTGATGATTATGGCTTACAAATAATGAAAACCCCAAATTTAATACCTCAGAAAGAGTACAGCGGAAAAGGTAATGGATGGGAACTATTGGTTTCACACCCTTCTTGACTTGACTTGGACTAGACAGACAAAGACGCTCAGTCACTGAATTAGCAGCTGTCTCGTTCGGCTCGGCGCTTCTCTCTTCGTAGTGGAGGACGGATGTTTACAGGAAGCTTCATAGCATCAAGCTGTCGCATTATATACATATGTCCATGGTTAACATTAGTGATTGGGTGTCATTCAAAGCTCCGTCAGAGCCCACACTTCCAGGAAGCAATCGTTTCTCAACTATCAGTCCGAGCATCACACTCTTGTAAAAAGTTACCATTAGAAAAATAAAACAACTAAACTTCAGAAAATCATTTAAACGGTGGCTTTTAAATAGACAAATCTGAATTTTATATGAACATCTTTGAATTAAGGATTGTTTAAAATGTTTGATTTTATGAGTGTGACTCAATTTGTATAATTCTCATTTCTTGTAGTTTGTTGTTAGTGATGTGTGTGCTCATCTCGGAGTGCGTCAATTGTTTTTTCTTTTATTTATTTCTGATCATTAACCTGCAGCTAAAAATGAGCCTTTGTGGCTAAATCTGGCATTTTGCATTATTGTTTTAATGTGCTCCTGTTTATTAATATGTTCTGTCCCGTATGAAGCAAATTAAATTCAAATAAACTGCAAAGAGACGAATGGAAAGAAATCACAAGAAGCTTGATAATCCTTATATACAATATTGCCCAATAAACAATAGAGAATATTTCCTTTTTGGACTTTTACAAAACATTTTTTTTTACAGTTATATATTGTTCATATTAAGTGTTTTCATTTTCAGGAGTTTATAGCTACTTAGACTTGTGGTTATAAACTCAGCATATTATCCGTATTTATTAAATTAAACCACTCTCAAAAAGTTTTTGACTTTCAGGTCAAACTTTTGGAAAACATACATTACAAGGATGCATCATGAAAGCAAGTAAAAGATGCAAACAATTGGGGGAGACGTCACATTAACCTGCCACAAAACACAAACTGAACATTCGGCTCGTGTTGTCAATGAAGGGGGACTGATGTCATCCATCCATCCATCCATCCATCATCCATCCATCCATCCATCCATCCATCCATCCATCCATCCATCCATCCATCCATCCATCCATCATCCATCCATCCATCCATCCATCCATCCATCCATCCATCCATCCATCCATCCATCCATCCATCCATCCACCATCAATCCATCAGTATAGGTTTCTGATTTTTTTTTTTTTTAAAGATGTTGCCTTTTTTAAGACTTTATAGTTGGTGTTCAGGTATTAATCTTACAGTCTTCCAAAAATGCGTAACCATCAAGTGATATTTTCAAATTTCCTGTCAACTTTAAATATTTTTTTTAACCCCAAAAATGGCGGCCGTGCTGGACGACTGACCTCGCGCCCCGAGCAGCTGGCCGAGCTGATTCCCTGGGAGGGAAACCGTGTTCATACAAAGAACTGTTCCCATTAATTAAAGTAAATGTGTGGTGGTGTGTGTGCATCTGCATCTGCACAGGCATATCCGAATCTCAGCAACACTGTCGGTGGAGCAGCTTTGTGTCAGTGGATCCTGGCTTTTCACACCCCTAAAAATATCTCTCACCAAGTGTGCGGATCAAAGGGGGCAGCAGCTCTGCTATGAATACCCCTCCGGTATTTAACCTAAAGCCTCCCCTCAGAGGAGGGGAGGCTTCCAGGGAGGGACAAGAGCAAAGAGCCCGCCGCTCTGCATCCAGAGGCCAGGAGAGGAAGGAAGACTGAAGGTGAGCTGATCATAATATATAAATATATATATATATATATTTCAGCTCTCTTCTTACGAGGAAAGATATTTGGACAAACGGAGCAGAAAACCGACTAAACATTTTGTTTGTGTTTGGAACCTCTGATTTTTTATTTCTTATTTTTTGTTTTTATGAAAAAGCCAAGTGACACAAAATCCCTGGACTCGGAGCTAAACTTTCACTTGATGCACAGAGAATGAACTTTTAAAGAGTCAGTTTGACCCGAGGGACATCTGCTGAAAGTTTTCTCCGCACCGTGGAGAAATAAAATCACAAACAAATCCTCAGGCTGCTTTTCCAGAATTGCGAGTGGTTCCAGTTTTATGTACAGAATGGAGGATGAAGCGGGCTGTAAAATAGTCGACAGGCCTGGAGAGACGAGGAGGAATCACACAGAAGGACAGAGACTTTTAAAGCAGCCGCCGTTGAGCAGCTGGAGGAACCCAAACGGGATCATGCTCGGCATGTTGGTGTCCCTTCTTTCCCTTGGACTTTGCGTTTTGGTGACAATTCGGACCTCAGAACTGCAGGCCAGGATACTGAGTCTGGAGCAGCAGCGGGACGCCTGGATGATGAGTCTGGAGCAGGTGGAGGCCCTCATTATGAACCGGGTAGAGCAGCTACTGGAGGAGGTAAAACACTAAGACTACAAATATCTTAATAATAATAATAAAAAAATGCCACAGTTAATCTCATTACTTTTGTCTCTAAAGAAACATTTCTGCTTCCTCTATCCTTCTACATGGAGATTTGATTCTTCCAGCCACATTCAGTTTGTACAGGTGAAGACGGTTGTTATTAAAAAATTTGTTGTAGTTTATGACAGAACTAGTTATAAGCGTCTTTGTCTTATTTTGGTGACACAACTTGAGTCCAGGGGCTCAAGTGTGTGTCACCTTAGAGCAACACTTTTGGACCGGTGCGTTTTGCATTACTGCATCTAAACAATAGTTAGTTTTATCTTAAGAAGATTCAGTGGGTTTCAAAAGCAGACAAGTCATTATTTCAGTCAACTCAGTGTGTACACCTGAATGAATGTGTATACCTGGTACAGGTATCTGTATCAGTCATTCATCAGGTGAATGAATCATTTAATTGAATGATTTATTCAATTAAATGAATCATTTAATTCATTTAATTAAATGAAATTAGGTTGGATTTAATTACAATTTCAGTCTGAGGAAGAGTTACAATGTTAAAAAGTAAGATGTATCTCAGCCTCATTCCTTCACCAACTGAATGTTCTGCCTGTCAATTCATCTCTCTTCTGCCTCTTGGATGGTAGCATGTCAGACTCGTTTGCTTTCTCTCAGATAAATCTCGCTGCCCTGGGCCTCAAAGCCAGGTATGTGTTGGGAAAGAACGCTGGAATGGGAAAGCCATCTGGCCACGGCTTCTGAGGTGGAGGTGTCACACTAGTTGGTGTCCATTCAGTAATTTAGTTTAATATCCATATTCAAAGATCTGACTTTAGGAACAGAAGAGAGATTGTTCTCCAAAACGGGCCTAAGTCAGACTGGTAAACATGAATATTCACTCAAGTCAGATATACATCACCTGAATGGGTTTTTTTGGGGGGGGGCTTTGTTTTGTTTTAAGAAAACCTCAGTGATGTGAGGTCAGGGGAGGCACCTGTCATCATGGAAGAAAAATATATAAAGATAAGATCATTTTGATTGTTATTTTCACGCCGTGTTTTGTACTGTAAAGTATTTATTTTTCATTTAGCTTTACCAATTTTTATTGTTTTTTCTTCAAAATTGGTAAATTTTCATAATTTCCCATTCAAATGCTCAGAAGTGAAGCTGGTGAGGAAGCAGTGACCTGAGCCTCAACCTCTCTACCTGCTCTGGCTGCCATTCTGAGAGCATGTTCCTCCTGTCTGTACATCGTCAATTAAATGGTTAAAAAACATTTAATATATGATCTGATTTTCCATCATTTAGCTGATCTATATAATGTACAGTGTTTGTTGTCACCAACTGTGTGCGTGACGTGTTTCGTGTGCTGAGGAGCGATCAGAAACAGAGGAGAACAGATTGGAGGTGAGGCAGGCAGTTCTCTTGCCTCATGGCAGGGGGCGCTCATGATCCCAGACATTGGCCTTGTGACTCCATGTTTGCAGAGTCAGAGACACTGAACCATCCATACAGTAAATACAGTAATATCAACAGTAGCAGTCTTCTGACTTTGTTTTCTTTTTCCTTCTTTGTTTTTGTAGAAACTTGCAACACAGATGTCAAAGACACGGGAGACCAGAGATGCTCCACAAAGTTGCCTTTGTCCTCCAGGTATCGTTAAATCAGTGATGTTGGTTAAAACAGTGATGTTGGTTAAAACAGTGATGTTGGTTAAACAGTGATGTTGGTTAAACAGTGATGTTGGTTAAACAGTGATGTTGGTTAAACAGTGATGTTGGTTAAATCAGTGATGTTGGTTAAAACAGTGATGTTGGTTAAACAGTGATGTTGGTTAAAACAGTGATGTTGGTTAAAACAGTGATGTTGGTTAAAACAGTGATGTTGGTTAAAACAGTGATGTTGGTTAAACAGTGATGTTGGTTAAACAGTGATGTTGGTTAAAACAGTGATGTTGGTTAAATCAGTGATGTTGGTTAAAACAGTGATGTTGGTTAAAACAGTGATGTTGGTTAAAACAGTGATGTTGGTTAGCTCTACGGAGAAGTCGACTCCCATTGCATCAAAGATTCAACACAGAACGCTTATAGTTCTATTTTTACCTAAAACTTCTAATTATGCCTTAATCAATTGCAATATGAAAGGAAGTCAAACACAAAAATATTAATTATGAGATCAAAGTTGATTTTTTTAAATGTAATGTTGTCTTTTTTTTAAACGTAATGTTGGCTGACCTCTCTTTTCTGATTAAAATTGTATTTAATCTTCCTCTTATATTTACGTGAGATCCATGCACATATCCTTTACTATGAACATCTCTGTCACTCTGCTGTTAAATGTTCTGTTTTTATGAATTAGTCATGATCAACAAAATGGATTTTTAACAAACAAAAAAGAAAGTAATTCGATGTTAAAGTCCAATGAACTTCTACAAAATAAAAATATGGAACATGAAATAAGGGATTTATTTTTTTCTTTATTACACAAAACCACATTTTGATGATCATGAGTGACTTGAAAAACCAATAAAAGTCTTGTATACATTGGTGGTGATATTCAGGACCAGACAACTTTCCATTAACATCCCAGATGTCAGAACTTTCTTAACACATTATTCACTAATTTATAAAACATTGCATCAAGTTCTACTATATGGATCGTTAATTTGCCATTTCGATAAAACAGTAAAAGATTATTAAGGCACCTAAAAAGGCATACTTTATTAACCTTAAGTATACACTGAGATGTAATTTAAAACATGCTGAAATGTCACTACATTTTTCACTCTTAAAGTAAGCAGTAAGTGATTTTTTTTTATATATTTTGAGCATATACTTTAAAACATACACAAAATATCTTTGAAAGCATATTGTTTCATTGGTACACTAGAGCAAATATATATTTTGTTCACTTAAGATATACTTTTATTTAATATGTTTCTTAAAAGTATATTGTGGTACAATTAAATTTAAGCAAGTTTAAAGGTTTAATGTCAAAATTGGTACAAGCATCCTGTTAGTGTAAGAAATTGGGTCAGTGTCTCTTTATGAAGCTCCGCCTCTCCCGCCTCACAACAATGAATAGAACAGCACAGCAACTAAACAGAGAAAGTCCTTGTTTCTGACAGAGTGCAGCACAAAAAACGGCAAAAAAAAGTTACGATTTCAGGATGTTGTGGACTCCCTACCTATGTGGCATCATCAGAACTGGTGTGATGATTACTGGGACTGTCCTGCTCACAGGAAGGGCTAAATTAGCTAAAAGCAAATGGTATGATCAGTCACTTGTAATATGTACTGTACTTAACTATCTATTCTACCCACAACTAAGTCTGAATTAGACTCAAAACTGATAAAAATGCCTCATTAATGAATGATTTCAATAGAAATCAAGGTTGTATGTCCGTTGGTTATGTTACTAAGTTAATAGTAAGTTAATAGTGTATGTCCATGTAAATCTTAAAGGATGGATTTCAAATGTCCATCCATTTTGAAAAGGTTGAAAAGGTCTCGCCTTTTTGTGATTACTTTGCAAAGAGCAGCGTTTTCCTCCCTGACCAAAGTTACACTTTAAACAAATCTTGGAGTGTGATTTGGAGAATCATACTCCTGATCTTACTTCAAGAATTGCATATTTGTGTATATTCAGCTGTCTCTGTCTCGGTGGTGGCTTGCGGTGCATCTTGCTTTTTACACACACCATCAGAAGCAGCAGAGCCTTGTAGTCTTTGGGGTAAGAGCTCCGAATGCAGCGGACGCGGTTGGTTTTCACCACTGCAGTGTTTGCACCGTGTTGCTTTAGCACATGTCTGCAGCCATGAGATAAATGAGTCATTATTGAGTCAGACTTGACAAACAGACTTGGAGAGTGTCATCAAAAATAAATTGCCAAAATATTATAATAAAAGCTTGCCATGAGACGGATTTGATTGCTCTTCTGTTTTTGAAATTTCTCTGTCTAACTAAAGTTATTTATTTTGAAATTGTGTTTTTAACCAGAGGAAATTATAGTCGATGATTATCTCATTCTGATCCTTCAGCAGGAGTTATTTTTTGCAGCCTGGCAGTAGATATCCACTGTTTTGCCACTTCCTGTCTGTCCACTCTATTACATTTAGTTTGTAAGCTGAAAGAAACGCGTGTTCTGTGGTTGTGCTATTCAGGAAAATGCAGCTGTCTCTGCGCCCCAAAATATAAACCCTTGACTGAGAGCCACGAATACCAAAGCAGCTGCCAGAGTAACAGCTTTACTAAGGTACATGTAGACCACTGTGTTCTCAAAATATTCTAATTAGCTGCCCTGTTGATAGCCTTTTGCTGCTAACACCTCTGGGATCAAAAAGGTGCTATATGCTAGAGTGGCTTTTGTTGTTTTTCTTTTTATTGTTATTATAAATATGGTAGGATTTCAAAATATGACATATGCTGAATTCTGTTTTTCTTTTGATTCGGGTTTGTCAGATGAATCAAAATGTGTAATTATTAAAATTAGTAATCATTGGGAGCCCCAAAGGCCCCCACAAAAAACTACATCCAGTTCTTGAGAGAGATAACAGGAGTGTCTGTGTCTAATATTAAGCATAAAGTATAGATGGGCATTATTTTCAGGTATGTTTTAGCTTAGCTTAGTTTACCTAATGTTACCTCATGCAGACAAGAGGAAACTTTAGATCACATAACATCCGCACACTTAAGTCCCAATAAGTGTCACACTTATCGACATTTAATAAGTGTGACAGTAAATGCAACATTGTCACACTTAAGTGTGTGAGGCACACACTAATTGGCGGTGATAAAATGAAGTTTTGTCAACAGACACACATAAAGAAACAAAGAGATAAGAAAAAAGTTAAGAAATGCACATAATGTAAACTGAAGAGTAGTAGAAGAGCTGATATATGACGGAGCTGGATTATGAAGGAATTTAGACGTGGGAAGGAGGCTCTTAAATTGTATTCCGGATTAAACAGGGAGGCAATTAGGGGAGGCTAAAATAGGAGATATGATTTTTCGTTTTCATCTTTACCAGTATAAATTCTTTAAAGGGCTTTATATCATTGTCTGATAAAGATATTGCTTAATGAATTTTTGTGTGTGTGTGAAACAACAGCAGAAAGCAGTGGCTGTGTCTTTGTCAATGGACCACACTTCCAGCCAATCAGAGACAGATCATTTTTGCGTCCGGTTAGCTTGAGTGAAAAACAACCAGCCAATCCAAATGCAGCACAAAATGGTAGAAATTCCAAAACAAACTATATTATAACACAAGAGAACAGAGCAACGTGAGCATTAAATTGTGTGCAGCCTAATTCAGCAAAGCATTTTAGGTGTTTCAACATTTCTTGAGCGGTGACATCCGTGGGAAATATGCTTTTGCCTGTTTTCAGGATTCGATTTATTCCAGGCCCTGAAAGATGACACAACTCAAGGAAAATAATAGTGCTACAGTTTATCCAGAATACATTTCATATACATTACTGTAGGTTCTAGGAGAGAGACACAGAAGAAAACAAACATATGCAAGATGGCTGATCAGCAGCCGCTGCGGACTATTATTTATTATTATCATTTGTTACAGCCGTGGTCATGAACGTGTTTGGAGTACTTGAACACAACGAGAAGTTGTTGAATCTGTCAAGGTGCTCTTGCTTTTTTTTTTCTTTTCTTGAGTTAAGAGATTGTTAAACAATGCCTGAGGCGGCCGAACGCCTTTCTTTTTATCTGTGCAGCTGACACAGGGCGAGTGTCCTCCAGGGTCATGGGACTCGTTATTTAAGTAGACTCGCCAGTTCACCTTGACATTTGTGTTGACAGGAAAAGCCCACAGCATATCACCTTCTGTGGTTTTGATATATTCACAGGACAGCTGCCAATGCATAGACAAACTGAGGAGAGTGTGGCAACCAGAGACAGAAATCAGGAAGAGGCAGCATGCTGATGCATGTGTGCAATGCATGTGTACATTGTGGAATATTCACTTGGAAAGATGCATTTTTGAGGATTGCTTTGTTGACAAATGACTGTGCTCTCAGTTAACCCAAACACTGATAGACTCCAAACCTGAGTATTGAAGAACGTTAAAAGTAAGATTTAATTGTTGTGTTTTTTTCTCAAGGGAAACTGTATAAGTGTATAACAGTTATCCCTAAAAAAGGACAGGATGTATTCAGATAAAAAGAAAAAAAGGCTCCACTTAATTCTCCTATTGACCGATGTCATCATTAAATGTTGAGTTCAAAATTTCAGGTGTTAGTCAAACAATTGGAAAATATTCTGCCAACATATTCCAAATATGATCATTTCTAATGACCATATTTAAAACAAAAACAAAAACTGTATCCTGAATTATCATCAGTCAGCTTCCTTGAATTTTACTGTATCAGCAATTGAAAAACGAAAAAGAAACAGCACTGGTTAACTTGTCATTAAATTCTAAAACCTAAAAACAAGAGATTAAATGACCCTTGTGTTGTTTGCTTAACCTGGACATTTTCCTTGGAATGCAGAGAGGAAGGAAGAAAACTTGGAAAATGTCTTCTTCCATGATTCAGTTCAGTTCAACGCTAATTATTGATCCCAAAGGGAAACTAAATGTTGTTGTAACTCATATCATTTGAGGTTCTTCAGAGAGTTATTGCAGAGGATAGTGTTGGCTCTGACTGAAGTCGCTGTTGTGTGCCATGCTCGTGAAGAATGCTCGGATTTCTCCGTCATTTTCTTGATCTTATGCGAAAAACTTCTTTGCACCGTCACATCCACAGTCTTCCCTTTATCAGTCCCTGGTTCTGATACTGCTACCTCAGCAAATGATGGAGGAAGAGATGATACTCTCATCAGCAGACTCGTGGAAGACATTCAGCATCTTGGTGCAACCACAGAAGAATCTAAGATTCCTCATTTAGTAAAGTCTTTCTTTGTCCCTTCTTATAGTCAGATTCATTGATGAGTCTCCTGTCCACTCTGTCGCCAGTGAACTATGTCTGTTCCTCAACCACCTCCACGCGACCTGTCCGTTTTCTCCGGTGTGAACGGGTGAACGACCTGAAAGTGTCCCGGATGCTCAGACGAGGGCACAATGACATCACGCAGAGGGAGCTCCGTTTTTTTGCCAACCATCATAAAAACGAGAAGCAGTGCTCGGTGTTTGTGGAAGTCGACTTGAATGCTAACGGTGGAGCACAGCTTACTCATTCGCAATTATTGTCCGATATTAACAACTTAAACCTCATTATAGTCCGTCTACCCCCTTGCACGTATCAGGGTGCAGAATAGAGACGTTCAGGTCGGATGATTGCGACTTGGACCTTTGGTCACATTTGAAAATATCAAATGCATTAGAAAAAAAATCCGATCTGTGTTGTTCAGACTGTCATCAGAAGATCAGATTCAGGCTGCAATGTGAACGTAGCCATAAAGCGGTACATCAACTCTGAACTCAAGCTTCTTGACCATTTCTAAAACACACAGAGGCATTGAGTATTTCTACAGATGACAGGAGTCTGAGTCGCAGTGCATGTCAGACTGCTGTAACATCAGAGTGACGGATAACAGAAACAAAGTGTTTCTTTTCTTCGTCGTAGCAAGTTATGGATTGACCAAAAGCATCTTAAGATTCCTTTAGCAACCAGTGAATCTGCACACGTTTCTTCTTTGCTCGTCTTTGCTTTGCAACAGCTGCAGCGCGTCGGCTCTCTGAAGAAGTAGAAGAATGTGGCAGGGGAAAGATGACTTTACCAGAGACCTTAGCGCGGCTGGAACGTTTAAAGAAAAGAAAACAAAGGGCTCCTATTGCATTTGTCAGGTTTCACCATGATATCGCACTCTGTCACACTTGACCCAAATGTGCCAGAAAACAGCAAAATAAAACAACATAAGCAAAACACAGCAAGTTCATTCAATTGAGGCTGAGGAGGGCAGACCAGGAAATATCTGGGTTGAGGCTAATCACCTTAAAGTTTCCATTTTGCCACTAAAGATGAGATATATGACAAAACAAGCAAACATGACTGGATTGTGATCTTCTCGCCACCTTTTTCATTCTTTCTTTGCCGCTGTGTCCCCGACTGCACAGAAAGCTCCATCTTCCTCATGAGTCGTAGCTTCAGACAAACATCAGCAGTGGCAACATGTTGTCCTTTTGCAATAAAGCCCTTGACTGCCTATAACTCTGGGTCATTTTGGGTCTCTTTTATTCAGTAATTTCAAATAAAAAAACAAACAAAAAAAACCCATAAAGAAATACTTTAGTGATACCAAAGCACTCTTCTTACACAATGTGCTTAAAATTGAAAAAAGAAGAAAAAAATCATTCAAAAAATATTGAAATTGTTTAAAGAATGATTAAAAGACTGAGTGATGAAGATCGGTGCTGAAACTAAAACAACAAATAGATGAAGAGAAATATGTAAACGTGTAAAAGAAACACTACAGCGGGGGTTGAAGGTTCATGAAAGTTCATGAAACTCTTCGTTAAATCCCAAATTAAATGTAATCGAGACGATCAAAATCCATTTTCAAAGCGACACAAAAACAACAGAAACAATACATTTGTCATGAAATGAAAACGAACAATTAGCTCTGGTTTTGCAGATTTTTTTTGTTTGTTGTGTTTTTTTACTTAGTAAGTCTTGATGTCATCTTTCAGTATCCCATCGGTTCATTGATTTGATTTGAGCCTCCACTCACTGTTCAATATGTAAATCATTGTCTTGTTCTTCAGCAGCTGGATCCCACGTCAGTAATTAGAGAAATGGGTTATTTTCTGGATATTTTAAATCTGAAGTTGTTTTTCTAAATCATTTCTCAGACCTAATTGGAGATAAGTGTGTATGTGATCATTCCTTGTGTGCAGGTGTTAGGTAATCTAAAATGTTTTATCTCTCTCTGTCTTGCAGGACCTCCAGTAAGTAACACCAGACGCTGTATTTGAACTTCATGTGGTAAAGTTACAACTTTTGGCCATTTTTGTGTGAACTGCACTGCTTGAGTTAAAACACTGTGGAAGAGCATTTTGTCTGTCTGGGGATGAGGAAGTTTAGAGTTTTCCTCCAGGTTTCATGTTGTCACATCTGTTTCCATCGGGCTAAACATTGACTTCATTACTTTTGCTATCAGATGTAGTTTATTTAGTAACTAGTTCTGTTCAACTCACAAATACTTCATTGGTTGAAAGTGAAGTTAAACTTTGTTGTAACCCATATTACTTTGAGGTTCTTCAAAGACTTGTTGTAGAGGCTGATGAAAGGTTCTCCTGTAGAGGTCTGTGTCACAGCAAGTCTGTAGGAGCCTCTGACTGAAGACACTCTGTTGTTGTATGACCATCTCGTCAAGAGATTGTCTTAATGAGACAATCTCTCACTGTCTCATTGAGAAACAATGAGGGATTGTCTCTTAATGAGTTGTCCTAAATTGTACTGATCTGATGTAAAAACCCTTCTATGCACCTTCACCTGCAGAGGTTCTGCAGAACCAACCTCTTTTTTTTAATCATGTTGTTGAGCCTTTTTAAGTTCCTGGTTCTGATGCTGCTTCCCTTAAAGATGAAGGCAGGAGAATTCAAATCAATTCAGTCTATTATTGCAGAGTTACAAGAACCTCAGGGATCATCTGAACAGCAAACTGGACCGGATTCATAACACTAAAGCAGTTTCCCAAAAGGGCAGAGCAGAGCAGGTTATACCTGCTATGGAGGTTCAGGTCCAGGGGGAACTGCTATGATTATTGTGGCATCAGCCATCTTTCATAGTGTGGCTTGTTGGGGCAGAAGCGTCTCTGCTGGTGACATAAAGAGACTGAACATACTTAGCCAGCTCTGTCCTCTGGTCCTCTGGACCCAGTAGAGGTGGTCAGTGAAAGGAAAATGGGGAAAATTGTCCAATAGGGCAGATGATGTTGCCCTGTTGGACAACATCATCTGCCCCACACTGCCCTGTTTTTGGCTCAGTCCATCCTTTCATCCACTGACCATCTTCCCTGTCGCTGCACATAAACTGTGTTGCCGAAGGTATTTGCTCCCCCTTCCAAATGATCAGCACCAGGTGTTCCAAGGTTTTCCCCCAGAAAGCTTGCTAAGCCCGGTGGTTGGTTCACCAGGCCGTCATTCATCCAGAGGTCCGCCGCGATTTTCAGTTAAAAAGTGTTTAAAGTTGACAGGAAATTTGAAAATATCACTCGATAATTATGTGTTATTGAAAAATTGGAAGATTAACTCCTGAACACCAGCTATAAAGTCTTAAAAATACAAACATTTAAAAAGACTTAAATAAATAATCAATGCTTAACCTGGTGGGGGGGACAAGTAAAGCCTGGTGGCCCGCCAGGCTTATTATAGACTGTGGGAAACCCTGCATTCCAGTCACTTCCATAGCCACATGAAAGTGATATATATGTTTTTGCAAACATATATACAGTATATACTCTGGTGTGTGCTTCTCTTATGTTATCTGTTCATAGGGGATTGCAGGGGAGCCTGGTTTGTCTATCATTGGACCCAGAGGGCCTCCTGTGAGTACTGATGTTTGTCAAATGCCAAAACTCAGAATTACTTCAGAAATGTATCTTTTTTTATATTTCTCACCCATGGAGGTTGCCATTTTTAAACCAGCTAAAAACTCACAAGTTTAAGAGAAGTTCAGTCTGATTTAACTCAAGCCGTTCAATTATATGTTATAATTGTATAGTCTGTACTCTGAGAATACCTGATATCTGATACATAACGGTATGTTGTTTTTTCATGCTGTTGCCTCTGAAGCTGAATGTTTTCAATTAAGTTTCTGTTGGTTTGACCAATCCTGCAGCATTTCATCCCTCAGCAAAAGCGGTTGCAAAGTGTGTTGAGACCAGTCTATTAGTGTGAACTCCAAGTGTTTTCACAATCTTACAAAACAGGAAAAAGTCATGAATTTTGTCCCCAGCTAAGGAAATGAATCAAATTTTCTCCACTATCCAGCACTCTTGTATCCCAGATTATTGACAATGTAGCTTTTTTCTGTCCTTTCTTTTTAGGGACAACCCGGCACAAGAGGATTCCCTGGTTTCCCAGTAAGTGATTATTCAGTTTCTCTGCTTTCACATTCCTGGCTCTTCTCAAGTCAACCTTTGTTGTGTCTTATTCATTGTTAATGATGATTTGTTTATTGACGTGGGTTAAACGTTGCTCTTCTTCTTCATAGGGTCCTATTGGGTTGGATGGAAAGCCTGTGAGTTTTTTCTTCTTTCTTTTAGAAGAAAATATAAGTTGGTGGATTTTTGTGTACTTGTTTGTGGTGTGATTGCGTGGCTATGACAAATTAAAATCTCTTTTTTTGTTTTATGGGCTTTAACAAAACAATGTAACAATTCACATTGTGTAACCGAACCCAACGTTTCATATTCACTCAGGGGCAAAAAGGACAAAAGGGAGACATGGTGAGCACGGCTAATTGTTTTTATTAACAATAACTTGAAATATTTGACCGCTCGACTCTTTAAAGTGGAATAAAATTTCCAGTTTTAATTGAAAGCGTGATAAAGAGGAAAAAGAGATTTTTCTTTTTTTTCTTTTCTTTTAGGGTTCTCGAGGTCCTCAAGGAAACCTGGTCAGTTCGCAATTTTTTTGTGTGTTTGTTTATTCTTTTTCGCAAGATAGAAAACTTGATATCTTTGCAAAAATAGATAAGAAACAACACTTATTTTCCCCTGCCTTTACCTCTAGGGGGAGCCAGGCCTCAAAGGGGAGAAGGTGAGAGATGCTGCCATTCGCATCACAATTCAGCCGACCTGTGGATGAAATTTAACAAGTATTTCTGTATAGGAACAGAATTCAACTTTGTCATATTATATATACCCGGATCTCAAATCTGAATGTCTGAATCCAATGTCTCATCCAGGGCGCGCCCAAAGCACAAGCAAACTGAGCGGCCGCTGAGTGGAACTGATTTCATATATATATATATATATATATATATATATATATATATATATATATATATAATATATATATATATATATATATATATATATATATATATATATATATATATATATATATGTATATATATATATATATATATATATATATATAGAGAGAGAGAGAGAGAGAGAGAGAGAGAGAGAGAGAGAGAGAGAGAGAGATTTAAATATGTATATATGTGTGCGTGTGTTTTTTTAGTAATGATTTCTATGTGGTTATATTAGTAAAAACACACAATTTGTTTTCCAATAATATATATTTGATCATGTAGAAAATCATTCTTTCAAAGAAAGAGGAAAATACTCTTGGAGGCCCCCTGGAGGCCACGGTAGGTCACACTTCACCAGTCATATGTGCATCCAAACCTCCAAAGGACCAGAGGAAGAAAAGTTAACAAAACTGTCGTCTGTCCTTTGGGGAGAGAGAAAATAAAGATGCAATACAAGCGTTTGATCTAATTTAGAGCCAAAGCAGGGAAGTTTGGTTTGCATTTCAAATTGGATGCAACGTTTCTCGACTGTCAAATACAAAACAAGTGCTGTTTTTTTGTTGTTGTTGTTGTTGTTGTCTCCAGGGTTCATGTGGAGACTTAACACACCGGGTAAGATTTTTTTCTATTTCATAACATGCTGACACATGTCATACGTACAGTTATTAAAAACAGAAATTTGATTGGTTTGGGTTTTTCAAAACAGTGTCTTCCTTTTCACATTGATATTATTCATACTGACTGTGTTTCAAACGTGTTCCTTTCAATTCCTTCACCAGGCTTAAAGCCCCATCCTGATCTAGATAGGCAGGAAATCAGCAGCACACATCAAAACAGCCACACAGATAAACTTAAAAGACACAATGATCGTAAAATAGCACGTTTAGATTTACATGCTGTGCATGTACTGAATTTATTACAGCTGCACTGATTGGGCTTTTCCAGACCAATACGTATTACCAATTGTTTATGGTCTGACTTACTGATTCTGATTTTAATCTATTGCCACGTTTTTTTTTTTTTTTTTGCTTCTTTTACCTCTTTAAGGTCTTTACTCCTGTTATGCCAGTCCCTTTTCATTTCCGTTGTGCATTCTTGTTTTCCTTCCCATGATCTTTTTGCATGGTGGTCATGTTTATGACTTCTTCTTACAGGTGTTGCCCATGACCCTGCGAAACATGCCTTCTATAAACCATCTAATCTTGAAACGCCTCCAGGTAAAAATCTGTCCAGACGATGTCTATTTTTCACTAAGCCTTGAGTACAACTAACCAACATGCCACAAACTTTGCCTCCTCTGCCTTCTGACTAACAATCTTTTGGCTCTAACATTTTTGTTCAAACCAAAAGGATTTGTTGTCATTCGATACCCGGCATCCCGTCTTTATATGTTAAGAAATGAAGAATTTTGCTTAGCAAAGACATGGCAATGAATTGTTACATCAAAACAAATTACTCCTCTTTTATTCATTCATTAAGGAAATTCTGTGACTCAGGAAAGAAGAATATTGTGGTTAAGTATTGAAAACTTGTGGCATCACAACCTACTGAGCTAATGAACTCAAAACGTCTACTAAATAAATAGTGACGTGGCCGATGTATCGCAAGGTTTCATTTGTCATCCGTCACTCAGCCGCCTCAGAGCGCAGAGCCGACTTTGGTTCTTCCTGCAAGCAGCGTCAGTGTTCTTGATTCAGTCCAGTTTATTGTCAGTGTGGAGTCGCAGGTATTTATGATCCTCCACAACGTCCACACTGGGTGATAACAGAGAGTATATGTAGACATGTATGCGCAATTGCAAGTTTTGTCCCGTGGGGCTTTCACATTGGACTGATGTTGAAGAGCTGGTGCGTAACCGCGCTTGCCGTCTTCTGAGTGGGAAAACGGTCCAGCCTGCCGCAGCCCCTCTTCTTCTGACTCCTTTGGTGTCGTCGCCTTGAGAACGCATTCAGGTTGACCTTTGTGGAGAACATTATGCTACTGGCTGTGGATGATCTTAAAATAAAGTACTAAATGTAAACTTTGCAGGAATGTAAAGAGTTGACTATTAATAGCTTTGTTAGTCTTCAAAATCGATTGTAACTCAAAAGTCTCTCAGCAGGGTGCACCCGGATTACAAGGACCCCCAGGACCCCAAGGCCTCCCTGGTGCCCCTGGTGCCCCTGGTTCTCCTGGTGCCCCTGGCCTTAATGGTCCCAGCGGACCACCGGTGAGTCCCGGCTTTACTTTAGATACAAAACCACAAAGAATTGACTTTTTGTACGACATTCCTAATTTAGTCAGTTTTTCATCGTTTCTTGTTAAAAAGAAATATAAACATTAGTCATACAAGTGGTGCTTATCTTTGACAAAGACACATCTTTGTCGCTATGGACTGATTAGCAGTATTTTGTTTGTGTATTTATATTCATTTATTTATTAATATCAGTCGTACTGAACAACCTCAGTGATCATTTTATAGGCTACACATTTTAGCAAAGACTTGCACTGATTGCAGGGTAAAAACTCCTACTGCTGTTGCCACCATCGTCTCTCGGTGTAGCATAAAGTTTTATGTCGCCAACCCAGTCAGGGAGGATGGACGAGTGAGATAAAGGCTTCTGTCCCTCTAAAGGTTTCCAAATATGAAGCAGCACGGAAAAAAGATCCAAATTACAACGCCACAAAACAGCAAATTCCCTAAAACGTTTGCAATGCCGTTTTAATTTCCTCACTCCAAAATAAAGAAACAACCGCAACCAACCGGTCTACTCAAAGCATTTCAATATTCTCCCCACACAAACAAACGCCTGGATATATGGATGACCAAACAAACATGCGTGTTTTCTATGTGTGCCAGGGTGAAAAGGGAGAGCCAAGCGCTTTTGCAAAGGGGAGTAAAGGAGAGCCGGGTTCCCCAGGACTAATCGGTCTCATGGGGCCCAAGGTGAGATAAATATCAATGATTACCTTTTAGCTCAGCAGTTACTGCTGTACAAAAAAAAAAGGACTTAAAGAAGTTTATTTTTTAGGGCGAAAAAGGAAATAAGGTAAGACGTAAAACTGAAATCACTCATTAAAAAAAAAAATGATAATGAGAATTACTTTGCAAACATGTTATAGTGCTCAATTTTCTATCAGGGGGAAGCAGGTACCAAAGGCCCTGCCGGCCCACGAGTGAGTCTTCAATTATGCATCATTTTTTGAATTTAGGATTTCATTTCTCATTGCTAATCAAAGGAACTTTCATCTCTGTGTCTATAAGGGTGCCAAACGTTTTTGTCCTGTTTCTTAGGGTCCATCAGGTCCGACGGGGCAGCCGGGAAAGATGGATCTCCAGAACAGTGAAAATGTATTCCATTATTTCAGTATGTATTGTATCCCTGCAGGAAAACATGTGTCAGTTCAGTAATAGTGTGTTTCTTTACAGAACATTCGCAATATGCCCCTGATGGTAAGTGATTTTTGTTTGTATGGTGGGTCGATGGAGGATTGCTCCAGTCAAGGATTCGGTTCTGGCAGTGAAGGATGCCAGACTTGGCGTAAAATGAACTAAAACCGCAAAACTAAAGAAAAAAAAACTGGTTTAGCAGCAGGTTTCTCTCTGTAACTAGTCCTAGTGCAGATCAGGTTTGTTCATGATATCAAGTTTATGCTTATACATGCAAACCTTTAGAAGAAAAGGCCCTCAGTGGATTAGCAAGGAAGAGAACAGACAGTAAGACAGTAAGATCAAACTTTCAAGGTGACTCAAGAAAATCAAACTTAGAAAAAAAAATACAAAATATCAAAGGGCGACAACAGTGTTGGGGTGAACAAACCTGCAAAACATCAAGCAGAGAGTAATAAATCAGAAGTCGAATCAACAAACCAATTGGATTTCTGTTGTTTTTCTGACGTTGTGCCACATCCTCATAGGGGCTTCCTGGATTACCTGGACCTCCAGGATCCCCTGGAATCCCTGGTGAAAAGGTGGGGGATTTTTTAATTATTTTTTTTTTTGAATAGCATTGAAAGAAGATTTTCTAACCCCATAATTGTGTAGATTGTGTGTCTGTTTCTAGTTCGTTTTGTCCCTGTGTTGCCTTCCTGCCCTGATTGATTCCAGCTGTCTCTTGTTTCCCCCGATCACTGCAGGGACCACTGCATTTTAAATAATGAACTTAAAATGCAAAAAAAAATAAAATCTCATGAGAAAACAAGATAACTAAAGCACCCACATAACAGACACAAGTACGCACACATTATGATGACTGAAAAACAGCACAAGGCATAGCGCGGCAAAGTTGTATGTCATTACCGTGCCATTATGTGAGACCCGATATTGGTGCAGTCCTGGCCCTTTATACAGATCTTTTTTTGTTTTGTTTTAAGTTTTGACTCTGATTATAATCCGGGGGAAAAAAACAGTGGGATCAATACAAAAAAATTGTTTTGTAAAACCGAGAAATGTCCAGCATAAAAACCACTGGATTAACATTTAAACACGTTTAGAAATATTTGTGCTTCGTTTTTTGCTGTCATGCCTTCAGGTGAGTTTTCTTTCTTTTTTGTGTTAACAGGGTCCCACAGGACCAGCAGGTACACCAGGCCCTCCAGGACCAAAGGGAGATAGAGTAACTAACATTCATTGCAGACTTGAAAGTCTAAAAAAAAAGAAGTGTTGTGTTGCTAATGCATTTTCTACCTTTTTCCATATGGCAATAGGGTGAAACGGGAAATGCAGGCTCGCTAGGACCAACCGGCCTTCAAGGCATCCCTGTGAGTTGGACGCTTCGTTGTACATATTTGTTATCCAGCATTATAACAAATAATGCAGCGTTTTCAAAGTGCTGAAAGTTGTGTCTGTGTGAGCAAGAAATTATCCTAATTTAGCAAAGCTATTATGTAATCTGCCTTTACGCACATGGACATGAGTGACATGGCATTCTTTTTGACCGAAATATTTTCACTGAGATTTTCCACTTTGAAAATACAATCATGTACCATTCTGAGCACGCCTCAGACACAAGTTCCCATAGTCCAAAGATATTCTGCACCTTTCATTGTCCCAATATGTCAGTTCAATCCCTTATATCGCTTCTGTCAGACTGTGGCCACCATTCACACACATTCGCAGTGTGTGAATGAATGTTGTGTAAAGCACTTCGGGGTCCTCTGGAGTCGCCTCCCCCCCCTACAAAATGCCGTCCACAATCACCTCTGTGATTGTGGGATCGTCCACAATCACCTCTGTGATTGTGGACGATCCCCAAGCAAAGAAACATACATTTCAGGTGCAGTTAGGCTGGTTGTATTGTTTTGTTGCTACTATTTTACAACATAGCGGCTCCACGGCTCCAGTGGTTCACCACAGTGGTTCAGTGTGAATCCAAAGCGCTCTCAGACTGCCGCTGTCGTGTTCAGCTTTTAAACCGGCGTTTCCCCGACTCGCTCCTCCCCACCGGGATTTAAGCTGTGGTTGTGGAGCAGGAGCCCCGGCCCTTGTGAAACCCCTATGATGCTGTCAACCCTGTGATGCTGTTTGACACACCAATTCAAATGTATTGAGAATGACTGTAGATGTAAAAGTGTTATATTTATTTCACATTTCTCTTTGCAGGGTTTGCAAGGACCACAAGGACTCAAAGGAAATCGGGTAAGAAATTACAAATATCTTATTCCAGTTGAAACCAGAAGTTTGCATGCACCCAAAAAGAGACACTTTTTTTCTGTCTTACTGTCTGAAGTTAAACCAATCCAAACTTCTCCTCCTTTTTGCTCAGTTAGAATAACCTCAATAATTTCTGTTTGCAAAATGTCACAATCATATTTGCATACATGTCCTCAGTATTTCTCAGCATTGTCTTTAAACCGTGTGACTTTAAATGTGTTGGGTATCCTTCCACGCGTTTCTCACAGATGTTGACTGGGATTCTGGCCCATTCGTCCTGACAGAACTAGTGAACTATTGTGAGAATCCAGGAAGGTTAAGAGCAAACAACACATTTTTAAAAGTAATCCTGTATCACACAGTTTTTTTTATTTATTTCACCTGTACTTGATCATTTGATTCTAGCTTTCCTTCACTTTGTTGATGGTTGTATTCTCCTTTTGAGATCAAGCGATCATATGGCACTACGAAATTGATCTCTGATGTGTTCTGACTCTCGATGCTGTGACACTTTGCAAAAATAATAATTTTGGTCATTCTAATTGATTGATTTGAACTTTTCTTGGCCTGGTGACGTAGCTTTAAAGTTGGTTGCATCCTCACTTAGAGGACAAAATCTATCAGCTAAGCAGCAGCAACGTTGACCATAATATGAAACCCATATTGTAAAATCAAAGAAATACCATGAGATAAGTCTTGAAATTGAACCAAAGGCATTCTTCATCTTTGACTCTGCAGTTTATTTTAAATGCAATTGTTTACTGGTAAAGACGTGAATGATTCCTAGAAGTACTCTCAATATATATTCTACTCACATTTTACAGGAAAATAGTTAGGTGGCAGTGACGTGCGGCCAGGGGAGGCGAGTGAAGCACCGCCTCACCTGGAATCCCGATAAGTCAAATTCAGCACATGAGAAGTAAAATAGATGCTAACAGCAATGAGAGAAAACCAATTTGTCCACTTGAATTTTCTATGAATCGTTTTTGTTTTGTTTGTTTTGTTTATTGGCAATTTCAACATTTTTATGGTTGAAATCACTGAATTTATGCCCTGCCTGTTGAAACACGTGAAAGAAGACTGAGGTGAGACAGTTCGGTGCGACGCCTCGCGTCTGAATCAGACAAGTGAATGAAGTAGGCAATTCCCCATGTTGTCTCTCTCATGTGTCAAACTCGAGGCCCGGGGGCCACATGTGGCCCACCAGAGCTCTTTATGTGGTCCTCTAAACTCCAAATTATATCAATAAGTCCCACCCAAAATTCACACAAAAATCAACAGATCCGCAGGGTTTTTCTGATTTCATCAGCATTTTGTCTCAAAATTGGTCAAAAACATTTGGCTTAAGTGACTGCTGTCTCAGCCTTACTTGATGTCAAGTTATATATCATACACTAGTGCAAATATCATAAAAGTCCCTTAGAAATAATTTTAAATTAGCATAGCAAAATATGTGACTTTGATTGCAGAAAACCACACAAACAATTGCAAATTGCTGGATGGACTGATTAGAGTAAATTATGTTACTTTAAGAAACACTTATTGGATAATATAAAACAGCTTGTATATATGTTGTATATATTTGGGGTCTCAAAAACCAAAACTGCTATTGATATTAAAAACGTAGTATAAAAGAAAGGTTTTAATCAGAAAAGAGAGAGGTCAAATAATAATAATAAAAAAGTAATTTTATCAATTATATTATTAGAAGCTTTAACTAGGCGTGGTCAAATTTTAAAACATAGCATCTGGTTTTGATTTTTGGTCCGTGCCTCATGAGCCTCACCGCACGTCACTGTCGTGTAGGTTTGCTTAGAACGTGTCAGAATAGCCCAGCGCAAAAATGAATCAAAATAAGTAAAACATGTGCACACGTTAGGCAACACACACATATGTGTGACATAAACTATTTTCAATTGTCATTTTTTTCAGAACATCTCAGTGAAATACTGGCTGCTTAGAAATTGCCAGTCACTCTCGTCTCTTGTGTCCGTCTCTTTGAATCAGTTGCATTAATAAATATATTTATATCTATATACAATATACATTATGTATATAGATATATATATAATGTATAACTTCTTCCAGCACATTCAACTGGCCTTGGTTTCAATTAGCAGTCCAAAATTACAATGGGACACATTAAATAGACCTTCTCAATTTTGACTTCTTTAATGACGCTATTTAAAAAATAAAATCAAAATCAAGGCTGGGAGATAGTCCTGGTGTTTTTACCATTTGTCCTGTCTTCCTTTGTTTCTGCAGGTCTTCCTATCCCCTTTTCCCTTCCTTCACCTTGTTCTTTGCCCTATGACTGCTTTTTGCAGGGTTTGCCCTCCTTTCTCTTACAAACCCAGGCCTCCTCTTCCTCATCCTCATTCTAACATATTCCTGATTTAATCCTTTTCCTTTAACAGTGGCTATTTCTTTTAAACTCTCTCTCCCCTAAATCCCGACCCTTACTATTTACCTGAAATTGGCAATAAATAAATATTAACAACAATTCTGCACTGAAATTTTGCTTATGCAATATTCATCTTTCATGTGAAGGATTCATTCAGTCCTTCAGCCTTTCGCTTGGTGAGTTGGGTACTCTGTTAATGCAGCATTCAGCTAGTAGTTTCATTTTTTCCATCAAATTGCACGCAGCCTGCACACTGTGCTATTTAATCAAAACCAGCTTTAGTGTCCAGGTTTGTGCACACAGACAAATCATTTGACTTTGGTTCTGCTTTACTCTCAATCTACATACATTTTAACTCCAAATTTATGAAATTTGGTCTGAAACATTTTTTACATCCTTGGGGGAAATAAAATCTGTCTCTGTGGTGACTTCATTTTTGTTAAGTAGCATTCTAAGTAGCTAAAAGGCTAAATAGTTTGTGTCCAGGATGTGTGGGGTTTGCAGTGATGTTACTTGGCCTTTTTCAGACCCTGAATGGAGGGAAAGATAGTCCTGTTTTTATTTTTTTGTGGACCTGAGTGATGGTGACTCTCTGGCCGCATCATCTTTTGTGGCTGACTCAAACCAGGCAGTCATGGATGTTCACAAGGCAGACTGAATAATGACAGTGCAGAAGACGAACAGGAGCTCAAGTGGTAGGTTCTTGATTTGTCACGGGACGTGGAGGAAGAATACACACCTCGGGGGCATCGTTGCTGATTGTTCCTGCGGAGGAGAAGATGCTCCTCAGCTTCATTTGCTGCTGCTGGTCAGTCAGGGAGCTGGAGATCAACTCGCAGGTGGACTCATCCAGCTCACAGATGCAGGATGGCTTGGTTGAGCTGAAATCCACAAACAGGATTCTGGCACATTGTCCCTGGACAGTCAAAATTGTGCCTCATGAATTGTGGCCCCGGGCTGACTGCGTCATCCTCTGCATTAACCTCTTTCATCAAACTATTGCCATGTGATTTCACTACTGCTGAAAAATATGAAAAGAAATATGTGTGCTGAATGATAAAATGGGAATTTGATTATCATACTTCTCGGAGTTCTCTTCACTTCGAAGGTTTTAAAAGTCCTCTTTCCGTGCGCACGGCATTTGGGCATTAATGTCTACATTTAGCTGCTAATGAATGGCATTCTGATGCACATCTCGCTATCTGTATCTCTCTCTATATGGATGATACTAAGCTGTGTGCTAAGACTGAGTATCCACTCACTGATCTGCACTACTAGGATTAACAGGATGAAATGTCACTTGGTCTGGTTGAGGAGTGAAAGTGGATTGTGGTAATCCAGACAGAGGTAACTATCCTCCCAGTAAGACCAGCAGATTTCAAAGGAGAGCTATAAGTAACTTGTTGGACAGTGTTTAGTTGGGCAAAAAATGCACCACTTATAGTAAAACACAAAAGCTAAGACCCAGCATGAGATGAATACCTGCCTGGGTAATGATGAGTGAGTGAGACAGAACTTTATACAAGTACTTCATTTTATTATTTCTGCGAATATATGTTTGGCCACTGAGTAATTCCGTAATTCCTCTGCCTCAGTTTTTTCATCACTTGTCACATGTCAGAGATGTCTCATAAGAACCCGGCTCACCAAATGAGTAACGTTGACGTCCCTTTTTAATTCCTTCTGCTAACCTTCCTTTCAAGGTCTTTTAAATACCCCCCAAAATTTACAACAAAATAGTATTTTGAAATAACTTTATTTTCCATGTATGCCAAGTTAAAGTTGCAGAATGTAACTTTTACAAAAAAAAAAGTAGGCTTTATTTTACATATTTTTTAGAATAGTCACCGGTTGAGAAGGATAATCTGTAAAAAATACTGAGCTCCTCTACCTCCTACCAGTGATACTGTTGCCGTGTGACGAAATGCATCGCCAGAAGTGTCTTAGTGCTATCAATCTGCTTGTGTATGTGCTGCTCAAAGTGTTGATGGCAGAGAAATTACTTGCTTTTTCAGGATGTTTATTGGTTGCCACGCTGGCTTGCCTGAGCATCCATGACAGGCACTGCTGTCAGGAAGAAGCCACAGCAAAGAGCAAGGTGTGAGCAGGGTATACAAGAGCATGACTGACAGCGCTAAGACACTCCTCCTGGTTCCGATTCGTTGTTTCCAGTGAGCGCTGGAAGAAGGCAGACGAGCTTGATTTTTTTAAAATAGATTTTCTCTTAGTAAACTGTCATGACATGGTGACAGCTTCAACAAATACGTAAAAAAGAAAAAGAAAGTTTTTAAAAAAATAAAAGTCACATACTGCAGCTTTAAATGTAATTCAGAGACATGAAAGTGTGTCTTTTTTTAAATACACTGTTGTTCGCAGGGAGAAAGGGGCAAGAAAGGCAACAGGGGGGCCAAAGGGGATAAGGGAGACCAAGGAGCACCTGGATTAGATGCCCCATGTCCTTTGGTATGTCAGCGAATCAATGTGGAAAGTAAAGAGGCAAAGGGAAGGACTACCACTTTGGAAAATCCCACAACGCTTTGGTTACCCTGAACATTTGTATTTAGAAATCAGCTTCCTTTTGGCTCTTTTACTGACAATAAAAAAACAAGAAGAGTTTTGGTCAGGTTTTCAGACCTACCACTATCACACTTAATATCAATAAACCTTAATTAGAATAAACCTACGACATGCATTTTGAAGCACGCCGTTGTTGCCTCGACGTAAGACCAAAACTCTTTTTGAGGGCGTCTTTATTCAGAAACGAGGCAGCCAGGAGCCCGTCACTCCTGGTGACGGTTCACAAAGCCTAAACTATGTTAGACTTCTTCAGCATTTATTTTACTTTACTACTAGTTTGGGGGAGCAAAGGGGATCAACCCAGAAAAATAGAATCCAAATCAAATATCAAACAAAACGGTCTTCATTAGCAAAAGTGTTGTCATCAGTTCGAAGCCATTTTTAAAGTGACTCTGCAACCGTTTGATCAGCGAAACAAAGGAGCACAGATGAGGGAAGAGCTGCAACACCTTAGCTACAGCAATGGATCTTAAATGGCTGATTTCATAAACAGGGCTTCCGAGGCTTTAAAGGGGAGAAAGGTGAACCAGGCTTGCCAGGCCTGGATGGGCTGGATGCCCCTTGCCCTGTGGTATGGTGCTCTTCATTTCCTGTTACATCTTCAGCATGTCTGCACTGTGAATAATGCTTATTGCCGAAGGAGAAAGACGATTAACGTAAAGTATTGCTTCTTCCTCTAACAAGAACAGACATTTACGTGACTGCTTTTTGTAATTATGGCATATCTATTCTGAGTATCTCACTTAAACTAACAAGCATTTCTTTAGTCTCCAAGGATTTCTTCTACATACACAGAAACTTATTAATGACACTAACAATATCATTAACAGCACATTTAGATTCTGAAGTAAAGTAGATGAAGTAGATCAATTTTAAATAACTAACTTTTGATATGCGTATAATGTGCAGTTCAACTGAAAAAAGAAAGAAAAAGAGATATAGCTTTTAACCTAATAACCTGATATAGTGTGCATCGTTTTTTTTAATTTCAGGTTTACTGCATATAGTCCCTCCAATATTGCTTGCATGGAGCATCACATTTTTTTCTCATAACTTACCACAGAGAATCAGCCAAAACAAACATATATTTTGTCCAAATTGGTCAAAGGCCTGGAGTTTGTGTGTCAGACATTTCTGATGTGTGGGGCGGGTTTTCTTTAGATATCCAGATAGAGGATGTTAAAGTTGCAATGAGTGAAAGAAACCAGCAAAACCACCTGGAAAATTGGGTTGTAATGAGGACACAGGTAAGTTCTACTGGAAGAAAGGAGACAAGATTCAAAAGTTCTACGAAATTTATTGAAGTCTTAAAACTATATTTAAAAATCGCTTTTCAATTTGCAGTACTCTAAAACAGAAAGGTTAAGGCAAAATTAATATTGTTTCACCAAAATTGTTGGCTGATGTAATATATTTAAATCTCAAGGGAGGCTGAGGCTTACCAGTGGGAGAAGCTGAGAGGAAAGGGGGGAAACATCCAGTGAAGAAAAAGAGAATAAGCCCAGACACTACAAAAACACAGCAAACTAAGGAAAAGGTGCTCCAACAAAATACAAAACAAGACAAGGCCACCGGGGGTCAGCAGGGGTCACCACCGCCATGGAGAGTCTCAGGCCCTGAAAGAAATAAACAAAAACCAGGGTTTCCCCCAGTGTATTATAAGCCTGGCGGGCCACCAGGCTTAACATGGATTATTTATTCACTTTTTTTTTCTTTTGTTTGCATTTTTTAAGACTTTGTGGTTGGTGTTCACATATGAATCCTCCAATATTCCAACACATAATTATCAAGTGATATTTTCAAATTTCCCGTCAACTTTGAACCTTTTTTAACTCAAACACACGGCGGGTCGCTGGATGAGTGACCCGCCAGGCTAAGCATGTTTTCTGGGGGAAACCTTGACAGAAAACATGAGTGCAACAAATACACAACTGCAGCATCTCCACTAAAGCTGTGCAGTCAATGGCCCAGCCAGCAGGGGAAGGTCTGAGTTGAGCTTTTAAAATATTTTCAGTAGGCAAAACATCAGCGAACATCCCAGATTGAAAGCTGGTAGAAAAACTCATTGGGAAGCTTTGAACTGGTAGGTTAAGGCATCGCCATGGGAACAGATCAATAATTAAAAATCAGGCCATGCAGCTGTAACAGAACGTTGTATTAGACCTTAACTGCAAAACTATAATGCATTAAATGACATTTTGCTCAACCTCCAACAACGTCTGGTTTAGATAACAAAGGTATATTGAATAATGTTTTGTTTTTCTTATTATTAAATACATCATCTGCAATAGATGTTAATTACACTGACATTTTATCCATCGTATGCATATGGAAAACTCAAAACAAATCAATAAAGGTGAGCCACAAGTGCATCTCCAAGGTGTTAGTAGTTTTACATTTGACTCTCCATGGATGTTCATGTTTCAAATATACTTTTGAAAGTAGCTTCAGAACATCAGTTTCTTTTCCTGTCACTTAGACGAACAAAGAACCACAAACATAATCCTCACATTTATTGTTGCAAGTTTTTGCATATTTCCTCATGGAACATGACCTTTGATTTTCTTCCCTTGTCTTCTTTCTCCAGGGGGACGATGGCTTACCGGTCATAGGCTGCTGGAATAAAGTAAGTGTTATTCTGTTTGGTCACAGTGCTTGTCCCAGGTTTGTGTGGACTACAACGTCAACACTAACAGATCTTGCAATTTGTTCTCTTTTGCAGTGATCATAACCTTGGAATGGCTTTTGTGTCTGTTAAGAATATATTTATGTTTTTACTTATCCCAATATATAAATATATATATAAATAAAACATGTGTGCAGACAGACAGACAGACAGACAGACAGACAGACAGACAGACAGACAGACAGACAGACAGACAGACAGATAGATAGATAGATAGATAGATAGATAGATAGATAGATAGATAGATAGTAGATAGATAGATAGATAGATAGATAGATAGATAGATAGATAGATAGATAGATAGATAGATAGATAGATAGATAGATAGATAGATAGATAGATAGATAGATAGATAGATAGATAGATAGATAGATAGATAGATAGATAGATAGATAGATAGATAGATAGATAGATAGATAGATAGATAGATAGATAGATAGATAGATAGATAGATAGATAGATAGATAGATAGATAGATAGATAGATAGATAGATAGATAGATAGATAGATAGATAGATAGATAGATAGATAGATAGATAGATAGATAGATAGATAGATAGATAGATAGATAGATAGATAGATAGATAGATAGATAGATAGATAGATAGATAGATAGATAGATAGATAGATAGATAGATAGATAGATAGATAGATAGATAGATAGATAGATAGATAGATGATAGATAGATAGATAGATAGATAGATAGATAGATAGATAGATAGATAGATAGATAGATAGATAGATAGATAGATAGATAGATAGATAGATAGATAGATAGATAGATAGATAGATAGATAGAGATAGATAGATAGATAGATAGATAGATAGATAGATAGATAGATAGATAGATAGATAGATAGATAGAGATAGATGATAGATAGATAGATAGATAGATAGATAGATAGATAGATAGATAGATAGATAGATAGATAGATAGATAGATAGATAGATAGATAGATAGATAGATAGATAGATAGATAGATAGATAGATAGATAGATAGATAGATAGATAGATAGATAGATAGATAGATAGATAGATAGATAGATAGATAGATAGATAGATAGATAGATAGATAGATAGATAGATAGATAGATAGATAGATAGATGAAGCGCACCCTGCACTGAACCCCATTGAAATAAACCTCCTGGTCATTCCACCAAATATAGATTTCTTAATTGTTCCTGAGTTAAAACATTAGTTTTGTTGTTTTCTTTGCATTATTTGAGGTTTGAAAGCACTGCATTTTTTTGGATCATTTCTCATGTTTTGCAAAGAAATACAAAATTTTTGTTGGAATTTCAGAGACATGTTGTCAGTAGTTCATAGAACAAAAGAACAATGTTCATTTTAGTCAAACATAAAAAGTCAAATCAGAGAAACTGATAGTTTTAAACCGTCTCAACAACAACAACAAAAAAGTCCACCCATCCATTCTCGACCCCTTAAGTCAAGGGGTAAACTAAGCTTATTATGAACAGATTATTTGCCCCGATGCGCAGCAGGGTGATGTTGCAGTGACTCTCTGACTTTGCGGGATGAACCAACATGGATAGACTCTCATCATCCAAGCGCAGCTTGAAATATGTTTCCAGATGTTGTCAAACTACATTTATAAGAGCATAAAGCTGCCAAGGTAGAAGCTTCAACACGCAGGGTGTCGCCGATCAGTTTGATGGATGAAAAGCCCGACATCATGCCGCACTACACAGGTGTTGTATGTTTTTGAGAATCTTTTTTAGCAACAGTTGTCTTTATTTGTCAGTAATCCCACAGAGAGTGGGGCGGGAGAGGCGTCCACAGTCTATGACTGCTCTGACCACTGCACCACGCAATGCCACTATTCAAAAAAAAAAGAAAAGAAGATGAACTTTTTAAGCTCTTCATTTCTCCTTTCTTCCCCTGGTCTTTGCTTCTGCAGTGACATTCACTCACCAGCAATGAAATGGCATCTAGAAATATGGTGCACATTTTATTGAAATATTCAAATTGATTATTATATATTGCCATATCTGCACTGTGAGAAGATCTAGTCATTGTGACCTGCTGATTTTTCCCCTAGTATATTTTAAATATGCTGCAGTTTTCC